TTTTTTTTTATTTTGTATTACGATTGAATTATTGAATTATTTTCGGCCAAGAATTTAAGTGGGTTTTGGGGTGTTCGATTTATATACACATATGCTAGTATTAGTTTTTTTTGCTCACAATTAGTTGTTTTTTTTTTGCTTAAGTCACATTTATGCATGCACGATATATTTTAGCTTAAATTTCCATTGTTCTCCAGAAGCCTGTCTTCATTTCTATACACTTTTTTTTGGTTGTCACTTTTTCCTAATGATTAGCCATCATAATTAAATTATATAGTTTTTTTTTTTATAATATGAAAATCGACGTTGAGTAGGTGGCAGACGCATTGAAGTTGAGGCGGTCTAAATGAAATTGCTTGGAATTTGCAAGTCTAGCTCAGTTCCAGTTTTCCTTTGGAAATCATTGGAAACTCACATATGTATGAATTTTGTATATGCATTTTTTGCAGCTCTCCCATCTCACTGGTGCAGCCTTCATCGGGATTGAGATCGGTAAGTGCTATCGTGTAATATTACTCACATATACAACTTGAATTAATTTAATAAGAAATAGATGACAGACCTCCGTAATTCCAAAGCATTACTCACGGCTGCATGGATTAACATAGGAACGAATGAAATAGAAATATGTTTATAAATTTAATTCGGGTATAAAAAAAAGAAAAAAGAAAAAAGAAAGTGCACGAAAATGCGTTGAAGTTGAGATACTTGTAAACATATATACATACATTTATTATATGGCATCCATTAGAGAGTAGCTTAACATTAGGAAGGTTCGAATGTTAGGACTTACACTATAGCTGCATAGTTTTTATTGTATGAAGTTTTGTTCCCGCCATTAGATATAACATTTATTTATAAGTGTACATGAACCATCGTAAAAATAAAATAATGTATTTTTTTCCATGAAGTTGAAATCATGTTTTGGTTGATTAAAGGAACTTGTAATGAGTTGCTAAGTTCAATTTGTTGGTGTGAGGTGTTGCACTGGCGCAGCTGAGGAGACATGGGTATGGTGACCAAATGACTGAGATTGCACTGAACAGAAGTTCGACCGACAAACAGACCATTGTCAGGTATAGGGGACGCTGTAAGAATGAGAGGAGTCAACACAACGTCCAATGCTTCGCGTACCGAGTACGTTGAAGAGGGTGGGTAGACTCCGCCTGACTGGACTGACTTCCTTCACTTCATTGTTTTCTCTTCTCTATCTTCTTTCTTTCTCTCTAAGGCATGAACAAATTTTGGTTATGTGGTTGTAGCAAAGGTAGGTGGAAGCGACCCCCCCGATGACGAGCTAGTCTGGGCTCGCTAACATGCCATAACGACGCTGCGCCTTGTCCTTAAAGCCAGCTACATAACAATGGCGCCCAACGGAATAGCCCGATTATTTTTATACCTTTCATGAGCATGAAATGGTATTATAACTTTGGTCCGATGTTTGTAAGTACCAGAACAAAAAGAGATATACCCATTAAAATGTATACTTATATAACTTCTCCATTTATGCAGCTACACAGCACATGCACCCATTATCAACAGAATGCTTACAGTGAAAATTACAAAGATCGGGTCACTATAACCTGCAGCCCCCATACAACTGATTGTTCAGATATGAGATCTTTTATCATATCTCCTCCATTTATGCAGCTAGGTACATGAAATTTCGCACCATTTTCACTCATTATTAACAGAATACTTACAGTGAAAATAACAAGGATCGGGTGACTACAACATATATCTTCCATACATCTGATTGTTCAGATATGGGATTTTACTGTAAAACTCCTTTATTTGAACAGCTAAAACCGATAAATTTCGTAAGATATTTTATAAATAATAATACAAAGTCTACTGAGAAAATCGTCAAAATCTATGCTGTATAAGCTTTATCTCCTATAGCACCGATTGTTCAGATACTTGAAATTATATATATATATTTTTTTTTTACATTTTTTTTACGTTGACTACTCCGAAGTCGACAGATTGTTAGTG